CTCCATTCTCCTCTCGGGATCTTGGGCACACGCACACACACCCAGCAGCTTTAAAAACACACATGGATGGAACCAACAGATGGCATAATAGTTACATTGCTGGACTCTCACAGAGTCGACCACAGTGCAAGTCCCAACCCAGTGGTTTAAAACTCACACTGGGGGAACCAGCAGTTAGCGTAATGGCTATGTCACTGGACTCCCACGTAGTCGATCGTGGTTCACGTCCCGGACCCGGTGGCTTAAAACTCACGCCGGGCGCGTGTGCCTGCATGCCCAAGATCCCGAGAGGAGAATGGAGGAGAAGGGATTGTGGCGTGACCATCTCCTCTGGGGGGTGATTTCTCGCTTTCTGTCTCTATGTCTCTCTCTGTCTGTCTGGCGAGCACACGAGCCTTATAGCGAAAACCTCTCCAAAAAAAAAAAAAAAAAACTCACGCTGGGTGCATGTGTGCCCAAGGTCCCAAGAGGAGAAGAGAGGAGAAAGGATTGTGATGTGGCCATCCCTGGGGGGTGATTTCTCACTTTCTGTCTCTCAGTCTCTGTCTCTCTAGCGTCCACTTTATAGCAAAAATCTATCTCAAAAAAATTTAAAAAAAGAAAAACCCACACATGTGCCCAAAATTCTGATCTGAAAGAGAAATGGAGGAAAAGAATTGTGGTATGACCACACTTCATTGAAGGTTGTTTTATCTCTCTCCCTCTCTTTCACGAGGGCACAGTACCCTCTGGTAATTACCAAAAAAAAAAAAGAAAAATAGAAGAGGGACTGGATAGCGGCACAGTAGTAACACAACTCTGTGAGGCTGACCCACACAGAAAGACCCAGGATTTGAAGATTCCTTCTACATGCCAGGCACATGCCCATGATCCAGGCTGACTGATGCTGGAGGTGGATGAGGGTGTGGGAACCCTGTAGGGGGGTAGGGGGGGCGGGGTGACTATCTCTTTCTATCTCTCTCTTATTCACAGAAAAAATTAATTTTAAAAAAAAAAGAAGATATAGGGAGTCAGCCTGTGGCATGGTGGTTGGGGCTGCTGAATCCCACATAACTGACTACACCCTTCAAGTCCCAGACCTGGTGGCTTTGAAAACACGGGTGCATGTGTGTGCATGCCCCAAACCCCAAAAGATGAAGTGAAGGAACTGGGATTCAGCGTGAAACCATCCCCCATGGGGGTACTTTCTCACTTTTCTTGTCTTTTTCTTTTTTTGGAGAGGGTTTTGCCTTAGGGCACATGTGCTTGCCAGAGAGAGAGAGACAGAGACGATGAGAAGGAAAGTAAGAAATCACCCCCTAGGCAGGATGGCCACGCCACAATCTCTTCCCCTCCATTTTCTTTCCAGGGTCTTGGGCACGCATGTATATGTGCCCAGTGTGACTTTCAAGCCACCAGGCCCAGGATTTGAACCATGGTCAGCCATGTGGGAGTCCAGTGATGTAACCACTATGTCATCTGCTGGCCCCTCCCTCTCTCTCTTTTACTCTCTCTTTTGGTCTCTCTTCAATAAGCACACAAACCCTCTGGCAAAAGTTAAAAAAGAAAGGGGGTGGGGACCAGGAGGTGGTGTGGATGTTAAGGCACTGGATCCCACAAGGCTAGCTGCATGGTTCAAATTCTAGACCTGGTAGCTTGAAAATCATGCCAGGTACATGCGCATGCATGCCCCAGATCCTAGGAGAATGAGATTTTAGAGACCACGGAGGGAAGCCTCCAAGGAACTGAGTAGTTACCCTTACCTGTACAATATGGTTGCTAACGCAGCATGGGAGCACCCTGAGGTTTTAACCTGCTACAGGAGCAGGTACTGAATTCACACTAATAGGAGCTGGTATATCTGTTTTCCAACAAAAAAAGGATCAAGAATCTCCATGTATTATTCAAGTTTCCCTGGAAACTTCGGCTCCTGTGATAAACTGAACTGTTGAATGCTATAAATCTTTTCTATTACAGAAGGTGAGAACCTGGATAAGATCTTTCTGGATAAGTCATCAAACCTTTTGCTATCCTCACCTTGTTGAAGCACTTCCATCCCTTCTCCAGGTGAGCAGAAATCCCCGGATGCCATTTTATTTTCTTGGGATACCAATCTGTGGAGCCAGGTGGAAGAAAACAAAAAGATGAACAAATGGCTGCTGCAGGTGAAACCACCTTGGGCTCAAATGCCTGTTGTCCTGGGAAAGGACCTCAGAGACACCCTTTGAAGAATGGAATTATATCACAAATCGTGAGTCCTACTCTCTTAAATAAGTTTTATAGACAGACTTTAAAATGCCAAAACTTTTTTTTTTTTTTTGCATTCTAGGCACATAAATGTTTCCACTTGCTTCAAACTGTCCAAAAAGGAGCCTCTTTAAAAAGAAAACTCCAATTCGCTAGAGTCTGAACAGGAGGCTTCTCCATCACCACCACTTATTATGTCCAAGTTAAAACTGAGCTGCTGCTTTCTAGTTACGAGTGAACTGGGAAAGAGGGGGGGAAACCAGTCTGCTTTTCCCCCAGTCAAATAACTCAGCCATCAAACTCCATGATTGTTTTTGTGCTTCTTTTGCTTGTCCTTTCATCTAAGATCTGCTGGTTGTTTTTGATCATTAACTCTAGAATCATCTTTCAGGAGTGACAAATCATTCCACACTTGAACAACAACTGGTTTTCACATAACAGCATTAGTAAAGAGCACCTGGAGGGAACTGGGTACTGAGAAGACTGACAGTGAATGCCAAAAGAATATTGCAAAGGTGTAGTTAAATGTGGCTGCAGCAGGTACCTGCAAGGTGCATCCTTTGCCAGAATAAGGAGCAGGCTGAAGACAATGACATCAACCCAGAGGGGCGGCGGTAAGATGGACACGGTTTGGACTCAGGAGAAAAAAATGTTTTCCTTTGACATTCTTTCCCATATCTTGGCTCCACCCCATCATCTCAGTAAAGTCTCAGACTCCAAAGGGCAGCTGAGCCTCCCAAAGTAGTAAAGACATCGAAGGTTATTATGATTTAACACTTCATGTTCACAGAACGTTTGGTTTACTCCTTTTGTTTTATGAGTAACATCAAAGTAACTACTCATTTGTTTTGTAACAGGGTCTAGAGGGGGACGAGAAGGCAGAAGCTAGGACTTAATTTGCAGCTCAGCCGTTGCTTCTGTGTGAATTTAAGAGAAATGCTTTTTTGTGTGCCCAACTTTTTTTCCACCTGCAAAACTGAGATAACGATTCCTGCCTTGGGTGAGACATTAAGAATTAATAACACAATTGACTTGTCAACAAAAACCACTACTTAGTTAAGTTCAGTGTTTTAACAATTCTGTTTATCCTTGATCTAAGCCTGCAAATACAAAGTTCGGCAGGCAAAGTTCGCACACGGAAATAAGAATCAGCCCAAATTTCAAGACGTCAGCTGTTCTTCCCTCCCTAGGGGAACTGCCCACTGGGGGTTTTTCTAGGGTGCTTTTCTTTACCCTTTTAAAATGTTACAGGGCGTGAACGGTGGCAGCAATCAGGCTCCAGTCTCCACCCTCTGCACTCAGACGTGTTAAAACGCTGCTACAGGGACCCAAGCATTTAAATGTTCTGACTCAGGCGTCTTTTAAATTCTTAGAGCTGTCTTTACACGCTGCACTGAACGTTAAATTGATTTTACAGGTATTTTCACAAGATGTGACCCTAACAGGGCCCGAGATGAATCAAAATGCAGAACGGGCTCTGCGGCGCCTACTTCCCTTCTGTCTGGGCGGCCAAGGATTCCCAAGGGCGAGGCGGCCTCCGCGGCCTGAGGACCGGGGCTGGCCGCCTTGACCCTCCCAGCGCTCTTCCTCCGCGTAGCTCCGC